AGGTGCTATTCGGCCCTGTTCAGCTCAGGGAGGGGCCATTTTGCACTTTCAATGTTTTGTTCGATAGTTCCTCTCAAATTACACGTCTTACCTTGATGAGACCTGTTGACTCTTGTCAAGTGTAATCGAAGCTCATGCTATTGCATAGCTTAACCTGAGTTTACAGGTCTCAACTGGGGCTTCGGTAGTGATCGATGGGAGCCAATCCTCCCAAAAATGACCCCCTCAAGCCGAACTGCACCTTTGCTTCTATTAATAGCGCCCAGTGTTTATACATAAGTGTTATCAGACATTGCGCTACAGGTTACAGGTATCAATCGATCAGCGGCAACGGCCCATCGGTTCGCTAGAATGACCTCGATGCTTCATCTTTTCATATCATTCGTCATAATTCGTAAGTGTTTTAATATTTTACAATTTCCTTTTTATTTTTTAATTGCATTTCCAGCTCTTACTTATGTGCAGTCTATGAATGTATTCTACGTTAGTTATCGGCATGCTCTCAAGTTTTGTGAGTACCGCTAAGTTTACGCTTTGAAATGCTCAGTTTTCGGCACCCTAATTAGTGTAGGTGAAGGGTAATGAAGGGTCATGCGCTAGCCTCCTTCTCTTGGATGCGCCATGTATGTAACCTAGATTCAAAATAGTTCTGTCATGGTGTGCCACTGATATGCTATTCTTCTTCTTTTTTGTTCCATTTTTTTATTCTTAGCACATGAGCTGGCCCTCTCGCCGTTTCCTGTCGAATTACACCTCTTATCTTGCTAAGACCTGTAAGGCTTGTCAAGTGTAAACGAAGCTCATTGCAATTGCATAGCTTTACAGGATTCTACAGGTATACACAAGAGAGACCTGTAGTGACCTGCAGAACGTTCCCGCCCCCACAAAGCCGAACTGTGCCCGAATTTGATGTCAATTCACCGGCACCGCATGTGGAAGGTTCGATTCACCCAGGGGAAGCTAGTCCGTTTTTTGGTCCCCAGATAGTAAGCGGTCCACTTGTCACTACATCACTTTCGCCCGATTCGGGTGGTCGGGTGGATATGAAAAAAACCAGCCATCCACCTCCAAATCTGAGACCCTGGGTAGGTTTCTTTACCTTTGAGGATTCCTATGCCTTGCTCTCATTAACACTGCGTGCTAGTCATGATCCCTACTAACGATAGGGCGCGTGAAGTGGTGTGAGCTGGATCGCAGGCGGGAGAGCCCTGTCCGTTAACTGTTGAGGATTCAGCATGACATCATTGATGGAAAAACCGCCGTGGCAGCGATATAGTCCACGCCCCGTTTCACGCCCTATCAGCCATATTAGGAGCAAATAGTGAATGGATGAACTCCAGCTAGCTCTCAGTGAAGTCCTTTTTCCCTTAGAAAAGTCATTTTCAAATGTTCCTGTTTTGGAGGGCACTCCACCTTCCCACTCGTACATTAGCACTCCGTCTTACAACTTATCCCTATTGTTTTTAAGGTGATTTGGTGATGTGTGGAACTGTACCGAATGAATCCATCTCGTCTCATGTCCTCAACACCGTGACTGGGGAACCTGCGGAAGATCTAGCGATTTCGGCTTACATTCAAGAAGGCATGGGTTGGAAGGTGATTGGAGAGACGTAAGTCGATATATGAATTTAGTACCGTCGCATCAGTCGGGGTGGTGTCAGGAGAGCCGCCCCCGGGCTGTGTTTTCTGACAGTGGTGAGGTTTGCGATCGGCTCAGGAGGAAGCTCTGCCGTGGACACGTCCCCTGACACCGCCCGGCCTGCATTCGACTGCTTGTGTAACAAGGAAGTGTCAAATACAGTCTTGTTCGCTGCAGATGCTGGGGCGCGCCAAAGGGGCTGGGTTTGGCACGGCGCCAACCCATTCTTTACCAACTGATAAGCGACCACAGTTATTGAAAGACGGGCTGGCGCCATGACAAGCCCACCCTCACCCCTGACACGCCCCTTCCCCCCTACACAGCAAACAAGACTGTACGTTGCACGCCTGCCGTGAGATTCCCTCAAGCCTTTCTCCTTCAGACGCACCGGAAAAGATGGGCGTGTCCCGTGGGTGTCACCGAATTTCACACTCCGCAAGGGCACTTATAAGATATTATTTGAAGTGGAGGACTACTTCAAAAGAAGAAACATGGACAGCTTCTATCCCTACGTGGAGGTGGGTACCTTCCCTTACCATCTAGAACTATTTCATTCCAGTATTATTTGGTAGCCACTGGCGAACCTTCGCCGTTTCAGGTGGTTTTCAAAGTAGACGACCCATCACGACATTACCATATTCCACTCACACTGAGCCCTTATTCATATTCAACCTACAGAGGATCCTGAGAAAAGATGCTCCAACACCGCAGGAGCTTGGCTGGTGATTCCACCGTATCAAAATGTCAAAATTTCTTCTTGTTGTAAACCCTTTGTTATGTACAAATAAAGCTTGAAAGACTCGATTACATCGTTTTTGAAATGCGCCACATACTCAACGTTGATCGGAAATCTTTCCGACATTTAAAATCGTGCCCAAACTAAGACTTCGTTCATACTTTGCGACCGGCGTCTGGGGAGCATCAGAGCAATGAGCGATGTATAATTAGCGCCGTATAAATGAACAAAACTCAGCTTCAGGCGAAATCAGGTTTGCAGCATCGTGCTGAATCGCCGAATCAAGATATCATATACATATCCTTCTCCGCCAAAACCCTGTTCGCTATCAAACACATGATTCTACCAAAAGACGCCGAGTCGCAAAGTGTGAACGGAGCCTAAGCAACAACATGTGGGCAGATAGGCTTGAATATCAAAGGTTTTATTCTATTAGCCGGCTATTTTCACTTGTTGTTTGACAGTAGCTGAATAGAAAGCTCTTTTGTTTTGGGCAGAATTCGATCGAAGGATCATCGGAGTGTTAGAGGGACACTTACCACTGCCTACCTAGACATTTTGTAATGCCCTTATTCAGGATGGCACTCAAATTGCCCATTACTGTATTTCCAACAAGATTGGCTAACGCGCGGAACTCAGCGCATTTTTTTCTCGTTTCTCCTTTCTCTCATTCTAAGGTGGCTCTGTAGGAGTCCTCTCCCCTACAGGACAACCTTCGGAGCAAAGCGTTCCAAAGTATTTCCATTGATAGTGCCCTTTGTTCAATTGATATCGGACATTGCTTTATCAGATTTCTATCAGCAGCACACAGAAGCCAGCCGCTCATCTACAGCAGTCCACCAGGATGACTTCGACACTTCATCTTTTCATATCATTCTTCGTCGCTTGTGGGTGCTTTACTTTAACAATTCATTATTTCCTTTTTACATGCGCTGAGCCCACCGCCCTTCCAATCATAGCAGCGCACGCATTACCCCTTAAAATGGAATAGACGGCGCGTACAAGTCAGCGTTTCTATTCCACGAGAGCAGTCTGAGGTCAACAAAGTTCACCCTGAAACGCTTGTGCGGGTGTTTCGACCTCATAATCACCTGGATTGAGAGGCAGAGTTGACTGTCATTGTTTTATTGCCATTACACCTCTCCCGATGCTGTACCTTGCATCGAAATAAATACATTTGGTTTTATTTCCCATGCGATATGATCAGGTTATGGTAGGTGGACCTGTCACGAAGACCTGTCACCTGTACTCGAGTGTCTGTGCTTGGCCCTTCAAGAAAGGAGTAGGAGCGCGCGCAACCGCTCGTGAGTGAGCTAAACGCTAAGAAGACATCCTGACAGCAAAGAAATAGGAAAATGCAAGTTCTACCATAGGAACCACGTTTCGTAACGCTAACTCTGCGGCCGTGACGAGAGACTGAGCCCACAATGAATTAGCTGCCCTACCTGGCCACTTGGATTTTAATACTGAGGGAGCGGAACTATCAGTATCAATTAGTGAGCACTTCCACTCGAATGAAGCTCATTTTTCCGATCCCTAAACTCGCTTCCAAAAATTGTAAAATGCCGCGGCGCGCCAACCAGCGCATCGTGCTGCGATGCGCGAGAAGTTACGATTGTCCTGTCCGTCTCCCGAGGAATGCCGCGCAACGTGATAAGCTACATGTGATAAAAGGGACAACAAGAGTTATTCATTTCTTACGATTTCATGCTGTCATTCGGTGAAGCAATCAGTGATGATGTCTATACTACGGCTGAACTCCTATTGTCAACATGTCTGAGCGAAGAAGTCATTATTAAAAGTCAGTTTAGTCCGAAAAGTTGTGAAATCCCACTGCTCCTAGGCCTGTTCCTGTGTTTAGACCGCCCGCACCTCCGTCACCACTGAAAACGCTCTATTACTCCTGGGCACTGATTTTGCCACTGTCGATTGTGGTTTTGCCTTGTGGTAATTTTAGTAGTAACAGTCTTTGCCATCTCTTGCAAACCGACGATCGAACTAGCACATTGTTTGAAGGAAGGGGCATAGGGCTGGGTTTGAGGCGGCGTCAGCCATTTTTTCACCAACTGTGGTGCCCTGCCAGCTTCGACAGTCGGTACAGCACAGGATAGCGCCGCGATAAACCCACGCCTCAGCATCGCATCACAAGACTCTGCGCTGCCCACTACCAAAGTCGTTTGGCTGGCAGCCAAGATACCCGCGTTGCGGGCGGTAGTGCAGCGAAAGCAATACTGTAGGTGGCTCACCTAAAGGGTAGTCTGTCGCGAAATTGCTTGCGCGTGTCTTGTTTCACCGCTTCTCAGATGACCTGTCCACCACTAGTGGAGTGTAGCAGCAGTTTACAGTATTCCTCACTGCGGGAAGGTCGGGATGTCGGGGGTGGGTTTGGGAAGGCGCTTGGACCCACAAACCACCCAATCATTTGATTTCGCTGTAAATCTCACTTTGACCACTCGTTTCTTGGACAAGTAAGTGGGAAAGCTGCAATTCAGGTAATTGAAGAACTCGGAATAGATGTGGAAGACTCTACTTCATGCGTGGATGAGTACGAAAAAAAGTTCACTGGTAACAACACAGTGGAGGACATTGCGAAGCTATTCCAGGAAATCAGGAAATGTATGCAAATGTGCGTTTAGATTCTCATTTTCAATCACCGAAATTTCTTTTCACAAGCATTGAATTTTCCTAATTGCAGCCGCTCATAGAGGTTGAATGGTGATTCTGTTGAAACCAGGGAGAGTGCTAAGTTACGTGACATCTTGAACACTTTGTGTGTATGTGTCCATTACGAAAAACCATGTGACCAGACGATAGAGGACAGCGCAGCTAAAGGTCGACAGACGTTGCTAAAACGTATGGCGAGCCAGAAGCGGGATTTTTCGAGGGGAGGGGACTCTGAAGTGGGTGAGCCACTTACCATGTGTGAAAAAAACTGGAATATCTAAGGTCACAATGAGCACAGAATGCAATAAGGACGAGAGGGTGCAGAGAAAAAGAGATGCACGACGCATTCAAAGGGATTAAGTTGATTGTCCGTAGAAGTATCGCAGTTCGTGGTAGCAATGGTTATACGGACCTGAGGAACTCGTCCCCCACCGCTCAATGTTAAATAGCTGGAACAGTAAACAAAAAACTCCCCCCCGAGAAGGAGGCGGTCATCTGTGCGATCAATTGTCATTGACGTGTCATGACAGTTATGGCGCGCTCTACGGTGATAACAGTGGGAGCGCTCACCGGACGGTGGGGCGTTCCCTACGACCACGCCGGCGAGCGTCCCGCTGATTGCGCGTCGATGGAAAGCCGAGAAATTCCAGGAAATCATCATCATTGCCCCTGCGTCTCTGACACTGACTCTGCGCTCGTATACACAAGGCCCCTGGCGCGCCGTCGTGTCTACTCTTTCCGTCTGACTCTCGCCGTACCCCGATGGCTGTTCTGACGTTTGCACAATCAGCTGAATTCGTGCGCAATAATTTTTTGTTGTTTTTTTCTGCAATTATTTCAGCTTTGTAATAAGCTGAATATTGTTCTAGTTTGCGGTTTTTCAATTTCAGGAGGTGAGTATGTTTATCTGGGAAGATAATTGACTTCTGTATAAAATTCAGGGCATGAAACGTCTCTATATAAAACTTGTTTCTCTCCTTTCTTTTTCGCTGGTTTTTTTTACTTTTCGCGAACGTTCTTCTGTTATTCTTTGATTTCTACTTGCTAAACTTTCATTGGCAAAATTGAATATGCTGTCTCCTTCGAACATACTCACCCTTGCTTATTGAAGCTGAACGAAGAATAATTTTAGCTTTTCGAAGCTGAAAACGGTAGCAATCAGGTTGAATTGGCGTATCAGCCATTATCGATCGCGGCGGCGTCGGACCGCTTGCCAACGTGGACGAAGGACCGCCCCACCGTCCGAAGAGAACTCGACTGTAACCCATAAGGAAACCGTAAGATTCACCTCAAAACTGCTGAGTCAAACGCCTCAACGGCTAGCAAACTCGCTTGGATAGCGTGAGGTGCGGGTTCTGATCCCCAACCATCAGCGTTCGAGCGTGCGTCAGCGTCAGCGACTAGGAAAGGACAGGTATCGACCTAGGCAGCACTTCGGTTGCGCGATCGGACGATCGATGCCTATGCTTTCAACTGCATCGATCGCGTCGAACGAGCAACCGAAGCGCTGCCGTCGCGAAGTCTGAACGCTGCCTACCAATGTTCTGTCAGCGTCTATCAGCCTTCGCCAGCGACCATCAGCGTCTCGAGGGACTAGGAAGGTATGGATATCGACCAAGCATCTACCAGCGTCCACCAGCGATCACCAGCGTCAACCGGCGACCAAGAGTACGGTATTGTAAAACGGTAGAAGTGGCATTGCATACGTGCGCAATTTCACGACGCTTGATCCAACTGTCTCCTCCCTCCTACTTCCCCACACTCTACCAATAGTTTCCTACCCTCCTACATCTCCATACTATCTACTTTTGGTCTCTGGTAGACGCTAGATCGATCCCACACTTTCCTAGTCACTCGAGACGCTGATGGTAGCTGGCGAAAGCTTGTGGACGCTGCCTCAAAGTAGGAACGCAGGCTAACTCAGCATACTTGTGATGTGTTTTGGTGGCACCACTTTTTTTGCCTTTTCTTGTTTGCATGGATGGGTAACTTCTTGAGTGGGGAGTCATAATCGGTTGCGGTCGATCTGAAGATTCGCCCGCAACGTGAGTCACCTAGGGGTTTAAACGAAACCCCATTTTGATTCAGGCATGACTGATTACAATTCATTTTAAGAAGAAAAGGAATTCATACAATGTATATTGGATGTGCTTACGCTTGGTCCATATACACAACCATAGGCTATGGCCAATTCGTGAGTTGGTGAGAAATGACACATTCGAGTCTGTTCTTTCGTAACTGCGGAAGATCCATTGAATTCCAGCATCCACACAATCGCCTTGGATGGATAGCCATGTGTATTTTCACCGTTATCACTGTCCCATTGTATATCGCAGTAAAGGTTTGTTTTAATGGCGTAGGTATCGTTGAAGACTAAGTTCACCCTCACACCCATTGCGTACTAGTTCCTACCGAGTGTGGGGAGAATGATTTATGAATTTATGATTTACAAGGCACTGGCACTCCCACCTGTCCCCGCACGAACACGTCGCAGCTGGCTACGGAGCAGCAGCTCGTGCAATGGTTGAGTGTACTGGTGGTTTTTGTTGTCTTATATATGCTGTTATCACAATCAAAACATTGGATTGATACATCTGCACCGATGGGTTCCCGGTTTGGCTAGCGGTCGTTTTCTTCTTTCACTAACGTGTTTAATCCCGTAAATCATTTTGCGGACGGACAGACATACAAACCGACATACATACCTACATACCGACAAACCGAACACCAGTTTCTGGTTATGAATGTAGAGGATAATCGGCATCTCATTGACACAAGGCACATAAAAAAGGAAACGCAGAAAAAAATCTCCGATAATCAACCTAGAACTCAGTGGGGAAAAACAGCATAAAGTTGTTGCGGTGTAGAGGGGGTAATCAGTGCAGAAGGGCAGTGGCCGCCAACACTGCAAGTCCATCCACGCATCAAATAGGACTCCGGATACCAACTTAGTAGGTCCGCCAACTTTACTGAGACCCAGCTCCAACAGCCGCAGGCAAGGATTAGTAATGGGGTGCAACTAGGTAAATAAAATAAAATTATACATCTTGATAGTAACACAAAACACATTCAATGTAAGGCGACTTAACACGCAGTCAAAAATTTAACAGTACAGGATCGCCACTCAGCCTTTCAAAGTGTAATAATTTAGTTTCTGTTCTCAGAACCACCCTTGTGAAATCATAACTTTTCTCACTTTGCTCCTAAACGACTTAGGAGAACTCGAATTTATAGTACTGGTTGGCAAACTATTCCAAAAACTGATAATCCGTTGAGTAAAAGAATTGCGGTACTCTTGACTTTATTTTATCTCTTATGAGCTTGTATCGGTGACCTCTGGTGCGCCCAATCGTTGAAGATCTTTTGAAAAGGACATCAAAGTCTAAGTCTACCAACTTAGCGGAAATTTTGAAAGTAAGCTCGTAATCATTCAACTTTCTTCTCATTTCAAGTGAATCCTCCTTCAAGTACTTCAGTCTATCTCTATATGATACATGGAACATACCCTCACGAGCGAAAATGCGTTCAGTGAATTTAGACTGAACACCCTCGACCATTTCAACTTGGGGAGCGCGTATAGGGGCTCCACAGCATAGGGCAATACTCGAGCGTAGGGCGCACATACGCTACAAAAAGCTTAAACAAGGTTTTTATGCTTCTGGAAGAGAATGCGCGCAGAATGAAGTTTGCCTTGCAATGGCTGAATGCACCACTTTCTTAATGTATTCGCTGAATGACAGCGTACGATTATAAGTGGTTACTACATCAGTGAAAGCTTCTGGTTTCTTTTAGCTATACAATCAATCATGAATTGGCTGTGCAGAAGGGTGGAACAACCAACCGCAAACACTGTTTTACAGGGAGATTGCGGTCCCACATTTCCTAGACCAGCAGCGATATTGCATCCAGAGGCTGCTTGCGAGCTGAGGGTTGTGTCATTATGCAGTATAATTTGACATCATCCATACATCGTGCAATTTATACCAGGTGGAAGGCTCTCAGGCAGATCGTTTATGTACATGATGAACAACAGAGGTCCTAGACAAGAGCCTTGGGGAACGCCACTCTCGGTCTGGTAGATTCTGGAGCATGAACCGTCGAGGACAACCCTCTGGTGTCTGTTACAGAGGAAGGATTCTATGAACTTCGCAAGACATCCGGTGATGCCGAACTGTTTTAGCTTTAGAAACAAAAGTTGCAAAGGAACGGAGTCGAAGGCCTTGGCGAAATCAATGTAGACTGCAAACACAGTTTCCTTTTTATCAATGGCGTACTGCCAAGCGGGAATAGCCGAAAGAAGTGCTGTTGTGGTAGACTTCTTTGGGAGAAACCCATGCTGGCAATGTGACAGAAGATTTCTCGATATAAGGAAAGCTCGCATTTGCCCACAAACAATCCTCTCCATTACTTTGCTCACTGAAGAAGTGAGACAGGCCCTAATAATTTCTTGAAATCACTCTTTGCTTCGCCTTTCTTGGAATATTGGCCTAACCAGTCCCAGACGCCAGATGGATGGCACTTCCCCTCTCAAAAGTATTCTGCGGAAAAGATGAGTCAAAGCAGGAGTGATAGCTTCAGCAGATTTCTTGAGAAAGATGTACGGCAACCCATCAGGTGAGTAGAGCATCGAAAAGGAAGCTTATTCAGGGTGCGGCAAGAACATTTTCGTAATTGATATCCACCCAGTCAAGAGTCTGTTCCGGTCAACTGTGAGCCGTCTAAGTCGTCTACTGTCCGAGTAACATCCTTTTTGTAAAAAGTCTCAAAGTATGTAGCAAAAAGGTCAGCCTTCTCATAGTCAGATGTGAGTCGCAGAAACCAGTAGACGACAAGGATAGCGCTGAATGATAAGATCCTTCACCTAAGAATTACAGTAGCTCCAGAATCTCTTAGCGTTTTAGAGGAAGCTATGCGCTCCTTCATGCTTGAGTTTAAGCCTTGCTAAATTCTTTTTAAGTAAGCGGGACAAATACAGGTATTGTGGATTGCGCAAATAATTACCATTCTTGAATAACCGTTCAACTCGAGATTTGATATTTTGTAGATAGCGGGGCACGTGGAAGTCTCCCTTAGTTTTACGACCGCGCGGAACGAACTGGCATATAAGAGAGTGGCAAAAGTTGGTAAAGAATAAATAACATTCGTCGATAGATCCCATAGAGTTAAAGATATTTTGCCAGTCTACAGCGAGAAGGTGACGGCATATGGATCATAATCCTTAGCGAAATCTAGAATAGGCTTAGAGACAGGTTGGGAATGAATGGTCGATAGAGTAAAGGTCACCGTAGCATGGTCTGATGTGGAGAAGGGAGCCTGTACTGATGTACTGCCAATGATGTGAGGACTATTCGTCAAAACAAGGTCCAAAATGTTACGGCATGGGTGGGTTCAAGAACTGTTTGCGTGAAGCTGTGAGATTCAACGAAATTTATGAAAAGGGAACCTTGTCTACTGAGGCGGCTTTTGCTCAGACTCTGCGATAAGCGAGACCACCGGATATCGAAGAAATTGAAATCACCCAGGATAACCACCGGCAGTCTATTTAGACATAGTTCTTCAAGAAATTTTTGGAAATCGATAGCTGAGCAAGACCGACTTCGGTAGCAAAGAATGAATATACAGTCATTGCTGAAAAGGGATATTCGTAAGACAATACACTGAAGATAGACCGAAAAACAAATAGATGATATCAGCGAGGCGTATATCGTCCCTGATCATGGCTAATACACCACCCCCCGGAGTATCCCCATCTCTATCGCAACGATACACAATGTAGGGGTGCTCAGCTGAGAGTGTACTATTACTAATCCTAAAGGGCTTACACCATGTTTCTGTAACAAACAAACCGCAAGGATTCTGCGAGAGGAGGTAGTAAAGATCAGGGAGTTTGTTGTTAATGGACCTCGCATTGAAAAGAACAAATTCACCAAGGCGTCGTGAACCAGGCTGAGTAGGAGGATCTAGTCTGTCGCCTGCGGGGGCCTGGCCCTATGGAGAGAGGATCACGCTGGAAGGAGCACCCACCAGAGATGCTTCAATTGGTCCTAAGGGGATACCAGATGTAGTCCTCGGTGCATTCTGAGAAGTGGCGGGATAGCGACGAGGAAGCTCCCTCGGTGTCTTCAGTTTGCAAATGCGGAGATCACGGACTACATACTGGAGCATCCCGAGTTTGGCGTTCGACATCCCTGCTTGCTTTCGCAAAGTACGATCGAGCTCCAGCTCCTCTGAAGTATAATCTCTGCGAGCATATGAATGCCACGATCGCCTGTCAGACCTCTGACGTCCTCGACGCGCATGTGGTGCACAGTAGTTTGTCCCGTAGAGCCTGTGAGGGTAACTCGATCTTGATGATACGATCACGGCCGTTCGCACTTTTTATCCTCTCAGGTGGGTAGCGTCGGGCGGTTATGCCTCCTTTGGAGAGCTCCTCTATGAGCTGCTCATCACCTGAAGAGAAAATCACTTCTCTCAAAGCCTCCATGTCCGCAGCTGCAATGCCGTGCAACTTTCTTCGGTCAGAATTGCACGGGAATGATGGTGGGAGGGAGTGATACCCGAGTGCCTCTCCACGCTCCGCCCATGCTCCCGCACGGTCAGCCTAACCATAGCCAAGTCTGCCACTCTTTTCACTTGGTGTACCCTATCGCTGAGTGCGTGTTTCGTTAGATTTTGGTGTCGACGTGAGTGCTACACCTTGAGGAAAGCGCGAGCAGACGGCACCCGGGATCACTACTACTATGAGCCCCGTTCCTGTGCACTTTTGAGTGGCGAAAGTGGGCACGTTACTCCAACTGACGGACTCATTCACCTTGCCCATGCCAAAGACCGTGCTCGAGACAAGGGTAGAGTTGCCTCTGAGTGTGTTTCTGTGCATTTATTTGAAGAACGACCAGATATTTCCAGGCCGAAATCAGTAACTCGATTTGTCAATTAATTGTATGGGCGGCACTGAAAGCAAAGGCTTTCTACAACGAACATAAGAGTGATCGTAGTGCGAGGTTGGTTTAATACAAGGCTGAAGGTAGCGGTTTCACCGACGATGTATACTCCTTATCCCTAAGACGAGGTAGGCGTGGCATTCGAACATGGCACAGAACTGGTTACTCGTGGGATATTTCAATTTGAGACAACCGCCATCTTGTTCTTTGTTGGACAGAGACGTGACCACATTTGGGTCAAAATGAAAATATCTCTCCAAAAGCATAGCCACCACGACGTTTAGTTGAAGTACGCAGCCACGCCTACCTCATCTCAGGGATTTCGAGTGTAGATGGAGCGCTCGGGGATGGGTCCGGTCCAAGTGGCCATGCTCAGAAGGGTGCCTGGCCTATCAAGCGTTCCCATTTCACTGGCTGGTCGCTTGGGCCTCGACTGCTCCAGCACCGTGATCTCTGCCTCGGAAAATGATTTTGTGGAGACACGGAGCTTTTTTTGATAGGTGAATACTCGAATTTCAGGGAAGTGCTGCAGGCCCCAACACATCGGCTTTTGAGCATCATCATAGTCGTTAACCTGACAATTTACACGTGTTTGACTACTGGTCTTGTATCGGTTCGCTTTACAATGTAATCGACCATTGTATTGTATTTCTTTCGTCAATACGACCATGTATTTGTCATTTTTCCAAAAAGGATTTGATTTATGGTCCTCGAATTCGATTTCAGCGCGGTGACAGCCCGTTTCCCACTACTCATTGAACGAATGAAGCCGCAATGATCGATGGAAAACGGGCTGGCAAAGCGCCCAGATCCACGCCCCTCTGTGACGGCTGACCACTGATAACGACAGTAATTCCTGCGCACATTAGCCTCACTCTGTCCTCAAGCAGCGTGAACTATGCCTGAAAAAAGTAGACTCTCGACGAGGATTGTAGCCTGCTTGGAATCCGTAGAAATGAGCACAGTCATATCGATCTAAAATGCCTTTTCTGGAATTTAGGTAA